CAACTGGATGATGAGTGTCACATTATCATTTGTTAAATGATTGGTTCTTTTCCCATCTTTCTGAATTGACTTTTAGTGTGTATTAAATTACACACAAACATGGGTCTGTTTCAGTTTTGTCTATTCTATTCTATTGATCTTTTTATCTATACCTATAGAAACACCACACTGCATTAACTGGTACCGATTTATAGTATATTTTATTATTTGTTTGGACAAGGGATGCCCCCATCATTGATCTTATGTTAATTATGCTTGTACATTTTCTCTTCCAGATGAAGTTTGAAATCACTTTGTTAACCTTCATAAAAACTTTGTGTTTTGATTATGATTGCATCGACTTTATATTTGGGGGAAGAATGGTCATATTCACGATATTAAGTCTTCCTATCCCAGAATGTGTCATAAAGTTATATATATTTCCATTTGTTCAAGTCTATTTTTATGTCCCCATTATATTCTATAATTGGTGAATGCCGGTATTAGGACAACAATTTTGAAATTCTGTAATCCCAAGCCTTCTTAAGTGTATTTTGTGTCAAATACACTTTAGCTAAATTTGGGCTACCTATGTGTGTGTGTGTGTGTGTGTGTGTGTGTGTGTGTGTGTATAGACATGTGTGTGTAGTTACTAGTTAAGTTATAATTAAGCACTTATATAGTTATAAACACATAGTTATATTTTTTCCATGTAAGTCTTATTTGTTAATTGTTAAGCTTAGTTCTTATTTTTACTTGCTTATGTATTTGTTTTGCTATTATGAATGAAAATTTCCCCCATTACATTTTCAAATTGATTAACTGGTATATAGAAAATAATTTTAGAATTGTATTTTCCCAAACTTCTGTCACATATACTTTAGCTAAATTTACATGTCTAAACTTATCCTACGTCTGTGTTATGGTCTGAGTTGTGTCCCCCCACTTCCCCCCAAATTTAAATGTTGAAGTCCCTCACGGACACAGAGAACAGACTTGTGGTTGCCAAGGGGGAGGGGGGTGGGGGAGGGATGGAGTGAGAGTTTGGGATTAGCAGGTGCAAACTATTACATATAGGATGGATAAACAATAGGTCCTACTGTATAACACAGGGAGCTATATTCAATATCCTGGGATAAACCATAATAGAAAAGAATATAAAAAAGGATGTACATATATATATATAACTGAATCACTTTGCTGTACAGCAGAAATTAACACAACATTGTAAATCAAATATACTGCAATAAAAAAAATCGATGTTGAAGTCCGAACCTCTAGTACTTTAAAATGTGGTAAATTAAAGAGGTAATTAAATAAAAGTAATTAAAGAGGTAATTAAATAAAATGAGGTCATTAGGGAGGATCCTAAACCAGTATCACTGGTATTCTTATTTTTAAGAAGAGGAAACTTGGATATAGACACACACACAGAGGGAAGATCGTGTGAAGATTCTGGGAGAAGACAGCCATCTACAGGCCAAGGATCTGGGCCTCAGGAGACGCCAACCCTGCTGACATCTTAATCTCTGACTTCTAGCTTCCAGAACTGTGAGTAAATACATTTCCGTTGTTTAAGCTGCAAAGTCTGTGGTACTTCGTTATGGCAGCCCTAGGAACTAATGCAGTCTGTTGGGATGGGAGCGAGGGTTACAAGAGATATAGGGGCTTTCCAGGATTGTCACAAGGCTTACTATCCTTGAATGAGACAATCACAAGATGCCTCCAAATTTGAAAAATGAAACTGCTAAAGTTGTATTTTTTATAGGTTGTATTTCACTGAAAAAACCCATCTGCTTTGTCTCTAGGGTGAGAAGGAATTTTATTATTAGATTCTCTGTTTGCATTCATCTTCTCCATTCTTTCTCCAACAATTGCTGTAATATTGGCCAATTAAAATAAGCATTGCCTTACAGCTCTAAGTCAAATACTGCTTGAAGCCTGGTTTCCTAAAGCATGATCACTTTTTGTATGTTTGTGTTTGGTCACTGTAATGGACCCTCTTATTTAGTCTAAATAGTTTTCAGTTGACCTCTTGGGTTTTTAGATAAAGGATCATATTACCTGCAACAGCCAGTTTTTCTTTCTTTCTTAACGGATGCCTGTCTGCTCCCTCCACCACACTCTTACACTGGCCTTTAGTGTTTGCAGTCCACTGACCCCCCCAACCTCATGAAGCGTGGGGTGGCTCAGCGATGGAACAAAGCAGGGGGTCCAAGCCTCCCGTGAATCATCAGCAACTTCCTGATGCTGGAAAAGAGGAGCCTGACGACACAGAACCAGCCTCTTAAAAACAGCCTTTAAGTGTTGAATCATTATGTTGTATACCTGAAACGAACAAAATAGTATGCGTCAAAAAAATAAATAATTGAAAATGAAAATAAAACTGTGTCCAGGGAACCACTGTCGTACTTGGGAGGGCACAGCTTTATCCTAGCGACTGTGCGTTATCACCTCTCTCCAAAGAGCAAGGGCAGCAGCCCCTGGCATTGGCTTAACAAAAGGAGACTTGGAGAGAAAAGGGGAAAATAGCAGGAGAAGCAAAAAGCAGTAAATGGGCGAGTGAGAGAGGTAGTGTGATCCAGGGGTGGGGAGCAGGCTGCGCTTATAGACTTAGGTCTGTAGAAGCACTTTTTTTTTTTTTTTTTTTTTTTTTGTGTGTGGTACGCAGGCCTCTCACTGGTGTGGCCTCTCCCGTTGCGGAGCACAGGCTCCGGACGTGCAGGGTCCCCGGCCATGGCTCACGGGCCCAGCCGCTCCGCGGCATGTGGGATCTTTCCGGACCGGGGCCCGAACCCGTGGCCCCTGCATCGGCAGGCGGACTCCCAACCACTGCACCAACAGGGAAGCCCTAAAATGATTTGAGCAGGCGCTAACTTTAGTGGTTTTAAATATAGCTCTGAGAATCTCATTCTAATATAAATGCTAGACATTTTCGATGCTCCCAGAGCCACTCATCAAGAGACACCATGGGGTAAGGTAAGGATCCCAGAACCCTGGTCTACTTAAAATGGGCCAAGAGAAATTACTCTCCTAACTCCAGGATATGGCGTGCTGTAAAGATGTTCCACCTGTTGGCTAGTTACGAGAACCTCTAAATGGCTAGGGGAAGACAGACAACTATCAGCTAGAATGTGAATGACTCGAAAACCTCCCTCCTCTCCTTTCTTTACTCAGTGGTGTCCTGCTTCCTACTTCAACAGTCCTGTGCCTATTTGCTTCCTCCTGCTTACTTGCTCTAAATGCTCACTTTTTGAAAAGCATCTGCTGTCAGTCATTCACAAGTTGGGCCAATTTTAGTCAATGTTCCAAGAATACTGCCATTTTAAGTCTGATTTCTTCCAGGGCAGTGAAGCTCTTGGCTTTTGCTTGAAGAAATATCAGGCATTAGTGAGTGGGTGGGGGAAGATCCTGGAGACCTGGAGACTCAGCCTCTGGGGAACCCCAGAAACCTGAATCATGACGATGCTTTGGTCCTTGTAGGTTAGGGAATGCAGAGCCCAGAAATGAACTTGCTCTCCATCATGGAGATTTGGCCCTACCCTGAGCTGTATGGTCCTCCTGGGTAGGGAAGTCTCTATCTTGTGTTTCTATCTTCATGTTGACTGTTCCAGTCTTAGTAGAGAGTAACAGGGATTCTTTACCAGAGGCTATGACTTTTGGAATCTCTGATACCTAAAAATATCAAAGAGTTGGCTATGAATCTGTTACTAAGAAAGGTTCAGGTAAGTAAATCAGTATTGAGCTGAGTTTCTTTCCAGACAGTTTCACCCATACTTTGACCTACTTTAAAAGACAAGTTGAGATAATGCGATAATGGTTATTTTATGTCCTTTGAGAATTTTTTGGAGATATTTTATGGGATAAATGAATCACTCTTTCCACACAGACAGATAGGGACTTATCAGCACAGTCAGCAATCTACTGGCTTCCTAAAATGCAAGTCTATCAGTGGCCTTCTTTAAAGAACACTAAGGAGATGGTGGTCCTATCTCCAGAAGTTCCTGGCTGGACCCACAGCCCGACAACTGGGGTCTTGTCATCCCAAGACCCCACTCAACAGAGGTAGCTATAGTTGCTCACACTTTGCAGCCTGATCCCGTGGTGCCAGCACAGAGGCGGGGCCTCAAAACCTAGTTAACAATACTAATCAAGCCAACAAGTAGCTAAATTAGGTTTTAGGCTACTATTTGGGAAATACTTTGCTGTGTTAGCTTGGTTTTCAATGCAGGCTAAATTGATACTAAAGCTTATTCAATTCACCATGGTGTTCCCTCCAATTTATAAAAGCCAATAGCAATTAAGTGTGTACACAATGACATTTCAAAATTAAACAAGCTAATTTAGGAGATGTGCAATTTCAAGTAACTTAGAGCCACGTTAGAAAACTCTTTGACTCCTCCCTCCCCATCAAAGGGTAAAGAGGGCTGAAGTTGGTAAATATTTATTCACTATACCGTACAAAATGTCTTTTTTTGTGTGTGCGGTACGCGGGCCTTCTCACTGTTGTGGCGTCTCACGGGCTCCAGACGCGCAGGCTCAGCGGCCATGGCTCACGGGCCCAGCCGCTCCGCGGCATGTGGGATCTTCCCGGACTGGGGCACGAACCCGTGTCCCCTGCATCGGCAAGCGGACTCTCAACCACTGCGCCACCAGGGAAGCCCCTCAGGGAGCTTCTTGCAGACAAAAGCAATGTCAAACAGGTTGGTCCATTAAATAAATGGCAGTTGAAGTGGTAGGATCTCAGATGTGTGGTCCTGGGGTGGCATGCTTCAGGCGCAACTGATATTATTTGGAATGTGCCATGAGGATTGAGTATATGTGGAGACATCTCTTTTATAGGACTTGGTATTCATACAGTAGGCTGCCAGGTGAATATCCTCAACAGATTTGTTTCCATTTAGATTGTACTATTGATATATTTCTGAGCTGTAAAGCTTCCTAAATAAAAAGGCAGTTTAAATTAGATAAGTGTGAAATGTATGCTTTTGGTAGATGAGATACATATGCATACTACACTATTATAAGTCGTATTAAAATTTATTTTAAAAATACATGGTCATGTTAGAAAGCATATTTTACAGTGGTAAAGCAGCAGCGGTTTTTATTCATTACAAATTCTAAAAATAATCCAACTTTATAAGTAATAAGGAACACTGATTATCATTAAGGACATTTAAATTTAAAGTTACCTACTACACAAAAAAACTCTATATTCGCATAAGACCAATGTATCTGTTGGTTTTTACAGACATAGAATTTCTGCAGGGTTTTAGGCCCTATCAACAGCTTCTATTAAGTACAATGAAAACAAAATAAAGTAATGAAACAATCGGGCACCAAAGATGAAGAGCCTGTTAACCAGGCACGGGCCAGAGAAACCTGTCCTGTTGGCAACACAAGGTTCTTTACCAACTGAGCCGAGGCCCACGCACTTTCCTGCCCAAGGCTCTTAGTGCTGGTGCAGAAACTGCAGTGGTGCAGTTCCAGGAAGCAGCCATCCTTTCCATGAGTCATAGAGGTTCCTTGGTCCTTATCATTTACCTTGTACTCATGGGCTATTTGGGGCTGAAATTAAGGACCCCAAACTACCTTAGTTTCATGTGAAGTCTTTCACTTCATATCCTACCCTGTCATCACAAGCCCCCACCAACGGGGTAGCTATAGACGCTCATACTTTGCAGTCTGCCTGACCCAGGGTCTTGGTTATGAACCCCGTGGAGCTGCTGTCAGTGGTCAGTGAAGGCTCTTTAAGGCCAGAGATTATGGCAGTGGCTTCAGCCGTGATGAATAAAAGCGAAGATAGTGCTCCCAGCAAACAGGGTTGCCATTGGGCTGAGCCATAACAAAATGCATTTGAAATGAACATGACTAAACTGTGTACATATGAACAATAATGAATGTTATGAAAACCAACCACTAAACCAACAACCACAACAATAACAGATCAGGCCTCTCAAAATTCAGAAACCAGAAAGCCATTAAAAAATGTTTAAATATGATATACAAGGAGATAAAAAAAAAAACTCAGCTAAACAACAAAGTCAAGCAACCTTATTTTCACATCTACATGTCTGAAAAATGACCTGTGACGGCATTAGTTCCTACATGAACTTTGGTACTTTTTCCCTTGATATTTTAGGACAAGTTAGAAAACGTAGGTAGAAAATATAGAGAAGGCACTATTTTGGCACTAGTCAAAAACCAAAAACAAACCAAAAAACCCAGTTAATCACAACCCCCCAAGAAAGTCACACTAATCGTGTGAATATTAATATTCCATGATGCACACTCTAAACCCAATCCTTTAAAATTCTGTGGACATTGTGTTTTTAGTTTGAATTGTACTGTCGCTTGAAGCACATCAGGAGAAACCCAGACAGAGAACATCAGAAGCAACATCACACGTAAGTCAGAGTTGGAATCTTGGCACAATTTTATCATGTGGTTTATAATCTCAGAATGTGCTGATCTAAGAGGAAAAAAAGCTAAGACTAACCTGCTCCCTCTGGCACTACCAGCATTGGCGGGCGATTACTTTTCCTTATTCTCCCTGCATTCAAATATGTTTCGAAAATAGTTTGGTAAATACAAATTCTAGTTCAAAAGATTTTAACGTCTACCTGTAAATACCCAGGACTTAGAAGATATTTTGGCTAATATTTAAAATAAAAGAAGTTTAAAAATCTTTTATTCAGAAAAATTTGAAGAAGACAGGCCCTTGTCTTTTAAAGGAAGGTAGTTCTGAAACATATTTTCTACCAAGTGTGGTTGATGACAGTAAAGTTTTATAGATATCATCATTAGTTTTTCATTAATGTATATAATACCTCAAATGACGTTTTGGTCTTTTCTTGATATTCATCTCTGGGGAAAATGTGATTAAGCAGTACTCTGTTTCAGTATACATCAAAAGTTCTAAATTTTCTCATAAATACTTTTTAAACTTGGATTTGCATAGCTACCTAGTTAAATGTAGGGTAGGCATGGCCTTTGTATGTTATTCACAAATCATCTTTCTTTTTTAAGAGTATAAAATAAAGGTGCTATTATTAAAGTTTTTCATTGAGAATGTTCAGAGAGCATATTTCCTAGTGCAAAAAAGAAAGGTAATTCAAGCTGTTTTTACTCAGTCACAATTAAGAGAATGTATATGTATTTTTTAATTTCTGAAAAGGACTTTATATAAGTGTGACTGATTACTAGTAAAACCTGTACAGAACATTTTGGCAATCCTAGGAAAGTAAAAACAAAATTTTGTTCAAAAGGTTATAAATTCAAATGTAGGGACAGAGAGGTGATAAAAGACCTGGTAGTACTGGCTTTTCCTAATAAGCACAAACCAAGACAGCAATGTCAGAAAAGGTGCAGCAGAAGCAAAAACAGAAATCCCCTAATGCCCCCGCCCCCAACTCCATTTCAGATTATAAAGCTCCTGGTATAATGTACCAGACTTCAGTGATTTCATATTAGAAACATTATAAATATATCTTTCTTAAAGAATCTATCTATAGAAAATATTACACATATAAAATCGCTATATATTTCAAAATAGTTTAAAACCTAAAAATTTTGCATAAGCATACCTATCAATATAAAACATTATTTTTTCTCCATCAGTTGGGTTTTTAAAATCTAGACAACAGTATTATTTCCAAACCCCATCCTAAACCCAGCTGACTTCTACACTGACGTTTGAAATATACACACACATATATATACGTGTATATGTACACACTCACACATACATACGAACATACATTTGACTTTTCACAGAAAAAAAGCATAGTCACTGACAAAGCATCTTTTCATAGATATTTGTATTTGTAAAGTGTTTCAAGGTAGAAAAATAATTTTTAACTAAATTCTGCTCCTAATTGAACACAGTGGGCATAATAGTTTTAGCTGCCTGTCATGTTCTAAACAAATTTCTTGATATTGTTACAGTAAAAGTTTTAATATTCACATATGAAATTCTTCATGTTCCCTGTGTGAAGGGCCTGTTCTAGAATGATTTCAGAAAAAAAGGGCTTCTCAGTATACGGCAAATAACAGCAAGGACTTATGATTAGGCCCACAGTGCTTACAGAAATACTTTACCCCTTGTATAGCCAACTCTTCCTCTCCAGTAAAACATGCAGCTTAAAAGAATTCTGGGCTTCAGATTTTACCGTGTGCACCCTGGAAATTGTGGAATGTTAGTACTGAGTTCTATGTCAGAGATGCTACAACACTAGCAGCCAGAAACCCAGGCCTTCTACCTGTTTATTGGATATTTAATCACAATAAACTCCTCAACAATCATAACTTGCTTTTTAATGAAAAAAATAAAGTGACATCTCTTGGAAAAGCTGTCAGAAAATAAATGTTTTCCTTGCCTTTGGAGTAAGCTGGTCACCTGGGCTTGATAATGTTCTTCCTGGAAATATAACCCATGCATATGTAAGTGTTTAGACTCAGTCTCATCTAGTGAACCATAGAATTATTTGTAAGAAAAATAATTCATGAGAAGCAAAACACACTGCAGATAAGTAGTCCACTATTAGAGAACCCTATAAAGTAAAATACAGTAATTAGAGAATCTTACATTTAAAAACAAATTATTTACTCATACAAAGGTTATTGTGTTTCTATGGCTTTAATTCAATTTGGTTAATTTTTCAGCTTGACGTTTTAAACGATCATGTATTTTACCAAAATATTCTATTCCCCGACCACTGATGGGTTTTTGTAGAATACTAGAGCTTGTATCAATAGGTTTAGTGTGGTCATTTAAAAATAAATGAAATAAAAAGTGCTAAACAATTTATGGGATGGGGGAAGAAAAACATCCCTGTTTCCAAAAGAAACATCAGAGGCAAATTAGATCTGAACCCCTAAAACTGGGTCAAATGCCCTTTAATAACTGAATAGGCACTTTAAAATCAGAATAGGGGAATTTTCTTTCCTTGTATCCCTTCATTTTTTCCTTCTTTTTTGCATATAGTAGAAAGAGAATTTGCTACTGAGTTAGAAAAAAAAGTTGAACTGTGATTGTTTATTAAGTAATGGAAAAAAGTATGAATCATTCCATCAGTTGTGTGATCTGGGAGATTCTACTGGCTTATTTTAACTGACTTTTAAAACAGGGGTGCTTGGGGTCTACTTGTCCAAGCACATGTCTACTCTGATCTTCAAACATATCCTCATCTTTGCCACTTACATGAGCTTCCTACCCATGGGGACCGCGCTCACTCTCTAGCACAAAGGGTCCCAAGTAGATCACACTACCTCTCCCAAGCCTCTGACTGGACTGGGACAGGGCAGGGGGGAATATATCATTCACAGAAGGTGAAGGCCTCACATTTAAGGACCACTGTTCTCAAAGAAGACAGCAGTTCAAAGGGGTGCCCGACATCTGATGACACAGAGGGCCACTCCTGCCCTGCGCAGCCCGGCAGACATGAACACTCCTATTGGCCAAGGTTTTAGCAAACTGTCACACCTCACGGAAGAAAAATCTGTACTAAAGCCACTGCTGGCATTTGTAAGTTGTAGAAAAGGCTCATTTCCTATCCCCTCCTCTTACTCCAGACCAATGACAGACACTGTGATGGGTAAATGCATTTTTAGCATGTTCTAACTTGACATTAATAAAGCCTAATAAGGAAAAGCAACAGCTATTTCCCCAACCACACCCAGCACATACAAAATATTTTTCTATTCCATGATTATCTCCATTTCAGTATGTGCAGTATATGCTACCGATTAATGACAACACTGGAAAAATGCAATACAATAATAGTAAAACACCAACAACTTTTAACATTGATATTCCCCAACATATACAAACGTACACACACACACTCCCACAATCCCACTATTTGGGGGACATTCATCATGAGGAGCGAGCTCAGGGTGTTTTCCCTGGATGTATAATTCACCATCTCAGGAGGCGCTGTCCAGGCGAGTAAGTATAAATTAGGGTGAACTGTGTCTGCAGCAAACCGATGACAACCTAGCATGACGATGACATCCGTCATGGTTCACTCCATGTAGGATATGTACGTGAAGACTGTGGACCAGCTCTGCTCGTGCAGGTACTAGCATTCACTTGTCTTTTCATGGAATATGAAAGGTAAACTCAGGTTTCTTTGGTGATGGTCATTTGCTTGAATGGCAGATTTTTCTTCTGTCGCTGCCTTTATGTTGTCTGAATAAATATCTTCATCGTCATCGTCATCCCTCGAATTACCCTCCAGGCTGTGTCTAATGCCATAAGCGAAGTAAATCAGGAAACCTTTTAGAGAAAAAAATCAGTGTCTTAGGTGTGTCAGAAAATGGCTGTTTGTATATGGAAAATTTAATACAGAACTTAATAGTGCCTTTTGCCTTCTCTTTCTGTGCTGTTTTAAAAGGACGGAATGCAAGTACAGGATATCCCATAAAAGGTCCCTGATAAACATCTTCCCAGTAGAATGTGCTTCTTCCTTTTTAACCTGCAATCTTTATATGCGTGTTTTTTTCAATAAATATTTTTCAGATGTTTATGTAGAGAAATTTTTTTTTTTTACTTTCTCAACACTCAACACTACACTTTAAACGAAAGGATCTGTGGGGGAAAATCTCATATACATCCCCCCAGAACAAGCGGCGGGTTAACAAAGACACAGTCAGATATTTTGGAAAGCAGGCCCTGTGTGAACAGGGGACATGGGTGTGCCTTACACACGTTACTGTCACCAGGAGAGGATGAAAAACTGTGTACTAAGCCAACTGTTTATTAACAGCCATGCTGACTGGGGATCAGAGGGAAATGTTTTAAGTATTCTCGCAAGATATGTAGGCATTTTGCTGTATTGTAGCTATATTTTTAAAAATTGGTTGAGCATTTTGGGTTGATGTGAAATGCATTATAATTTTCCCATGTAAAATCACGGGAAGCAGGCTACCAATGAGTATTTTGGTAAGTCCAGTTATTAGGAGTGATTCTATTTCCTCTCACGTCATTCGAGGTTTGAAGATCCAACCCTCCTTGTCCTCAAATAAAGGTACTGTTATCACCATTTTACAAAGAAGCTGAGGCACAGAAGCCGGGGTATAACATGGCCTAGGTGACACAGCTAATACATGGCAGAGGTGGATTGAAATGTGGAGAGTCTGGCTCTGTAGTTCATGCTCTTCACCAAGGTCAAGTACATGATTAAACCTCAGTGAGCTACAACTTGAGGAAAGAAGCAGTGGCTTTTGGAAAGGCAGGAAGGGTAGAGAAGCTCTCCACCAGATTACAAAGAGATTCTTCTGGGCTCAGAGTAGGGGAGAGAGTTCTAGGGTCCTGTTCCCCGGGGGTTTGGGCTCAGCTTCCTGGCAGCACCTGGGGAGGTGGCGAGATCACAAAGGAATGGCTTTGTGGTACATTATGGAGGGCAGAGCCGACTGGCAAGTGATTATCGTCAGGATCCTGGCCCTGATGCAACAGAGCCACCTATCAGAAGTGGCCACAGTGACAGAGAGAATACTCCAGAGTAACCTGCGTGGAGGGATAACCTTTGATGCACCCAATTCCTTGACACAGTGTCAGATCCCCCAAATATGGGCAAAACTCTAGTGTGGGTATGGGGGGATGGGCAAAAGTGACTAGGTTAAATCACCTATCAACTCAAGTGGGTTGGTGGCTTGAGACTGAAATTAAGTTAATTTACAGCCACAAAAGAGATTCATTCGTTCATAATAAGAGATTCATTCTTATTAAGCCAATGGGAGGACTGTCAAAAAGCATCAACTCTCAAACTCCTCAGGCCATCAAAACCAGTGCAGACTTAGCTCTCATTTCTCACTGCTTCACCTTTCAGCTACTTCAATTCATATTTTTAAAGATAGTTGGTGCTCAGTGCTTTAGTTACAACAAAGTTAAACTCTTCATTTCTATGTCAATTTTCACATAGGAAACTGAAGAAGTCATGATGGAGAACAGTGCAGAATAGATATAAATAAGCTCACTCATGTTACGCAATGCCAAATTCCACCCCAAGGCATTCTGATATCAGAAAAGAAATTTCTTGATATAAGCACATTCAAAATGTTGCCAGAAATCCACTGGTACTCTGGAAGGAACTGGCTTTGGAATCAGACTCTAGGGCTTCCATTTGCAATTTAGATCCCTTGACTTTTAGGGGCTTCATTTTTCTCACTCAAGAAGTTAGAAAAAATAGGACCTATAGCGTTTTACAGGGCTACTGGGAGAACTGAATTTTACAAAAGTATCTGGAAAAGTAAGCACTCAGATGTTCTAAAAATTGGGAAAGGAAGAAACTGAAAGAAAAGGTCTTTATTTCTAGGAAGGGGGAGTGGATGCATTTCTCTAATCACAGTGCATGACATCGGAAAAAGAGAGCCCACGTTCAGAAAGCAAAAACATTAAAACACCTACCAAGCGCCATCCAAATGCTAAATCTGATCCAGGTGTCTGCACTCAACTGGACCATCAAGTAAATGTTCACCAGGATGCTGAAGGCTGGCAAAAATGGTAAGAATGGAACCTAAGGGGGGAAATATCTTCTTAAATATACTCAAATTTTGAAAGCACATTCCCCAAATTATTTCGACATGGTGGCAACTAATTTGACATACATACTTTCACACTGTGTCAGTAAGTTTATATTCTCACAAAAAGGACAACCTGAATAAAGACCACTCATCTTGAGAATACTAAAAGGAGCACCATATTTCACACTGTTTACTGCAGCCCAAAGCAACAGAGGATTTATCCAGCCCGCGAACACCTGCATCATCACCAAGATGCAATTGGTTTCAGGGTTTAGTTTACTTTAGGGTTTACCGGTTTAGTTCAGATATCAACAGGGCATCCCTCTGGAACTGGCTACTCATGGTATCTCAGAGGGATCCTACTCTTAGTTCAAATGGGACAAGATAATTTCACTTGCAGTGGAAGGGCTTTTGGTGGAAATAATCTTCCTGGGAGGGTACTGAATTTCCAAAATAAAATATTCTAATTATTCTTCTGATACTTCAGAATATCGGACAAGAAATTTGCTTACTATTATATAGAATAATGTGATAGGGGCACATTCAAGTTTTTGAAAAGAATACTTTAGACAAAAAGGAGCATCTCAAAGAATTGTGACACTCTTGTTCATTGGTTAACGTCATCAGAAGTGCGTTTTTTTTTTAAAGAAACAATTCACAAAAACTAATGTACAAGAGAAAATGTGCATAATATTTAGGATCTCCAATCCTCATGACACGTACCATAAAGGCTACTTTTTGCTGATTCTGAGGCTGCCTCCAAATGATGAGCACAATGGCAACGCAGAGAACAAGCAACAGCACAAGAAGAGCGAGGCTCCACGCTTCCAGCCTGGCAATCGTGTGGACTCCGTGCGTGGTCAAAATACTCAGGCCCAAAATGAGAAATGCTGCAGAGGTGACATGTTCGGGAAACAAAATCAGCACACGCCCTTCACTCAGACTCCTGTGTTCAAAGAGTCTATTTTGATAAGACATCAAGTTCTTTCTAGATCTGCTCTGCCAAATACTAAAATTCTTCATTTTTATTCTGGGAAGAAATGGCTAATTTCCCTGATTTAAGAAACACAGCTCGCTTACTCATGACTGTCTCCCCTTAGAAGCCAGCCTCCCCTCTGGGCACTACCATCTTGCCTTTCGGCTCATGGGCTACAGTCTCAGATGAGATCACGTGGATTGATGGGATGTTGTCCGGGGTGGCTACTTCCCTTTTTTGAAATGGGAAAAGCAGGTCTGTTCATGTTCAGCTGTTGTAAACACTGATTGTTTATGTAAACAAATAATATATGATCTGCATCTTTTCTCCCTATTTCAGACAGCGACATCACCACCCACCCACCCTTCTCTGACCATCAAGTCTGCATTAGGGGTCCCTCCTATGTGCTCTCAGAGAAACCTGTACTGCTCTTAGCTTGCCGCCAACAGTCCTGTTCTGCAAAACCCAGTGAGAGCAAGACCATCCCTCTTGATATCCCAAGCACCCAGCAGAGTTCCGGCCTAATGATGCTCAGTAAGTGTTTCTGAAAATATGCATGATGACATAACTGTGGGTGAGCAAACAGGATCTGCTATGCTGCCTCGCAGTCTCCTTGGGTCTCCGTTCAGCTATTGCCAGGTGTGCTTTGCTTCACACAGGAAGCATCCTCACAGCTGACAAAATGGACCAATTTTGTACTTCTGCCACTCTCACCTTAGAGAATTTCTTCCTTTCTTCTTCAATTACCAAGATATAATCAATTTATCCTGCTAATACAGAGATGAGCTCAATGACCAGTGACCAGTTAGGTTCAAATCTCAGGACTGAGGGTAATGCTAACATATTCTTTTATCCTCTTTCACATCATACCTGCTCTACCTACATATACCTGCTGGGTCTTTATAATGTACACAGTTGAAGCGGACTTACCGAGGAATCCTACCAGAAAGCTCACGAGAGAAGCCGACTGTTTTGTGGGCAGAAGCGAGGGGCTGACGAGGGTTTGCAGGCTGAAGCCCTGTCCTGGCAGCGCAGTGACCTGGGACGCGCTTTTGGAGGCAGTGTTGGCACACGATCCCAGAGCTTCTTTCTCAGGACAATATTTGGGTTGCTCGTAAGATAAGCCAGGCTGGTACCTATTCCCAAATAAAAGCATGTGTCTTTATTCTCAACGGACACTTGGTCCAAATGAAACGAGCATCTGAAACTCTAAGAGAGACATTTCCATTCACAGCTGGTGCAGTAAATCCACACGTCTTGTGGCTGCAGCCCCAGAATGTACTGAAGCAAGCCACACACCTGCTCAGTAGAATATCTGCAGCAACTCTGAATTTCCTCTGATAGCCACTTGATTAGAAAGTTATGTACATTAGATGCCGACGAGAGTTACATTTTATTTTATTTTATTTTTTTAAACATCTTTATTGGGGTATAATTGCTTTACAATGGTGTGTTAGTTTCTGCTTTATAACAAAGTGAATCAGTTATACATATACATATATTCCCGTATCTCTTCCCTCTTGCGTCTCCCTCCCTCCCACCCTCCCTATCCCACCCCTCCAGGCGGCCACAAAGCACCGAGCTGATACCCCTGTGCTATGCGGCTGCTTCCCACTAGCTATCTACCTTACGTTTGTTAGTGTATACATGTCCATGCCTCTCTCTCGCTTTGTCACAGCTCACCCTTCCCCCTCCCCATATCCTCAGGTCTGTTCTCCAGTAGGTCTGTGTCTTTATTCCTGTCTTACCCCTAGGTTCTTCATGACATTTTTTTTTTCTTAAATCCCATATAGATGTGTTAGCATACGGTATTTGTCTTTCTCTTTCTGACTTACTTCACTCTGTATGACAGACTCTAGGTCTATCCACCTCATTACAAATAGCTCAATTTCGTTTCCTTTTATGGTTGAGTAATATTCCATTGTATGTATGTGCCACATCTTCTTTATCCTTTCATCCGATGATGGACACTTAGGTTGTTTCCATCTCCTGGCTATTGTAAATAGAGCTGCAATGAACATTTTGGTACATGGCTCTTTTTGAATTGTGGTTTTCTCAGGGTATATGCCCAGTAGTGGGATTGCTGGGTCATATGGTAGTTCTATTTGTAGTTTTTTAAGGAACCTCCATACTGTTCTCCATAGTGGCTGTACCAATTTACATTCCCACCAGCAGTGCAAGAGTGTTCCCTTTTCACCACATCCTTTCCAGCACTTATTGTTTCTAGATTTTTTGATAATGGCCATTCTGACTGGTGTGAGATGATATCTCATTGAGAGTTACATTTTAAAGTGAGGCAAGTGTGACAACAGGATGATTATTCTGGAAATATCTATGTCCAAAGGAGATGCAGTTCACAAAAACAGCACAGAAACTCTGGTTAAATGTCAGCTACAGAGTAACATACAGCCTTCGGTTTGGCCTTCAAAGGCCTCACTGCAACCTGTCTCTCTGGCCTCATCTCCCTCATCTCATACAGCCACCTCCCACCCATTCTCCTCTATCACCAATCCCCTTCCCCTTTAGCTGGCATCAAGATATCAGCCTGCTTCAATTCCTAGTATCTGCCCAGTCTCCCCAGTGTGGTCTTTTCCCTCTGAGCAGCCTTTGGTTAAACTTAAAAGTAACATTTGTCCCCCATCCAAAGAAGAAATATGCTCACTGAGAAAAAAATACACAAAAAGGGGGGTACGCAGAAGAAAACTGAAGCCACCCATTCCACCACTACTCAGTATGAATCACTGCTAGCATTTTGGTACAATTTCAGCCAGGTATAAATGCAAATATGTGTATATATAGGCAAAAATCATTTCTTCGTGCAAATGTATGTTACTATTTAAATAAATTCAGATGCTACATATAGCTTTGCATCCAGAAACTGATATATTTCTCCATATAATTAAATATCATTTTATTTGCTGTTAGAAGAGTCAAATGATAAATGTACCCTTCTTTATTTAACTATTCTTTTTTTTTATTGAAGTGTAGTTGATTTACAATGTTGTGTTAGTTTCTGGTATACAGCAAAGTGTCTGTGTGTGTGTATATATATATATATATATTCTCTTTTTCATATTCTTTTCCATTATGGTTATTTTAGGATATTGAATATAGTTCCCTGTGCTACACAGTAGGACCTTGTTGATTATCTATTTTATTTACTATTCTACTATTGATATTCAGCTTAGTTCAGTTTTTTCACTATTGCATATATCTGTGTGTGCCTCTTTGATTAAATCTTTAGCATAAAAGCTTAGCAGCTGGACCACTGGGATTAAAAATATAGTATTCTTAAGTGTTTTTATACATTATGAGAACTTGCTGTTCACACAGATTAGGCCTACCTTTGGTAATTCTCAATTTTAGTTGATTCTTTGCTTACGGACCGAGTATGCTAATTATGCTTTGTACTCACGTGTGTATGTCTACGGCTTCTCACCTCTGTGAGACAGCTAGCTCCTTGAAAGCAAGGTCAGCGAGCCCTAATTCTCCCCAGGCCCCGCATGACACACACTCTTCAGAGCCATCCGGCAACGAGGACAACTCACCTGAGGATAAGAACGCAGGCTGCGACCAGAGAGTAGGCCAGAAGGGTGCCGATGGACATCATGTCCACGAGGGCCTTCAGGTCAAAAAGGAATGCCATCACAGCTATTGGGAAAAGAAAGAACAGGGAAGAAAACAGCCTGTGAGAAAATTCCACACAGTTGATAACTTTCAAGTCAGGGATAAGTGATGGGCACTTTTTTGTTTTAGTGCCAATGGTAAGTCAAAGTGTAGAAAGTGTATTTCTCACAGTTAATGAGATGTTCTTTAGGTCATACAAACTGCTAATAGAACTTCAAAAACTCTCGGCTGTCTATCTAACAAAACACATCTACTTTGATTACTTAAAAAATATTGGCCTGACAAAGAGTGAAAATATTATATGACAGAATACTCTCCTTTGATGTTTCAGAAGAAAAACACTGCTAGGAAATATTGGCTGGCTCCTTTTTAAAAAAACATAAAAGAATTCGAACAGAAGAGCTTTCATTATAGATGTTATATAATCATTTTAATTCCCATCTGCATTCTGAGTTATATCTTCTACAGAATAAAATAATGTCCAATTAAATTATGTTTCTGATAGTGGCTAAATTCTACTCTGATTAAAACCACACAATCTGACTAAATTTGAGCGATCTGTGACCCGTCCCCAGGCCCCAATAATGTTAAGAGGCAAAGTATAATTTATACAGTTGAATAGTCAACTTGCACTTAGCAACGTTTTTTCTCCATTGAAACATCAAAATAGTGATGATATTAACTTGAATTTACCAAATAGTTGTCCCTATCATAATAAGTAGAAAACACCACATTCCACTCATGGGGTGTTCCAGACACCTCAGCAAGCTTTCTATCTCTATGATCTCCATTTATCTTCAATTCAATAATCCTATGAGACAGGGGAAATTATTTAGATTCAGCTTTATAGCGCAGTATTTGACTGTTTTTAAACAAAACCCCAGCAATTTCACATGGTTTAACTTAACAGGATTACTATCCTCTTTTTTATAGACAGGCTAACTTAACAAGGTTACAACTAGTAGGTAGAAGCGGGGTTCCAGCTAAACCAACATGCCCGTGCCCCTTCTATAATAGCACATTGTTTCTTTAAATACACCCCATGCCTTACTTTGAAAAATCTCCATTGCTAATATAGTTATACATCAGATTAAAATTTTAATATGTTTTGTAAGAACCACAGATAACCAAAACAAGGTAGCCAAAACAGAAGAAAATGATTAATTATCCATACAAGCTCTTTGATTTAAGTTAAAAACAAGCAAAGCAAGATGTGGGACTACAGAATAACAAAATATAATATTTTAGAGCATTGAAAATGCTACAATTATCTTCTTTTAATTATTAATTTCAATATCTTATTATGCTGGCAAATTAAATTCTTCCTGAAGGAAGAAGAGTACATTTTAAAAAATTATGAATACATAGTAGAGAATTAATGGGCAAGATTTTACTGGGGAAAAAAAAGCTTTTATGGAGTAAATAAAATATGTTTTTCTTTGTCAAGATTTATGAACTATCTTTAATATCATAATGCACTGTTTAATCATAAAGTGGGCCTTAAATCATCTAGTGCAACCTTCATTTTATGGGGGCAGAAATCTAAGCACTGAGAAAATAAGTGATTTGACCTCCCAACATACATCTAATAAAGTGCCAAATTTGTTACAAAACATTATAAAGTGCAGTTGTTTAGGCAAATACTTTCTGACTCTGAAAGAATCCCATTTCATACATAATTAAGCATTAGTGTTCTCTAATCTAATTTCCCCAAAATTCAGAGCCTCAACAAAATTATCATTTTTTGGTTTGAATTTCTACTACCAAGAGTGTTTATTGTTTTATCTATAAAGCTGGCTAAAGTCTTTCTCTTCCTCTCTTCCTTAAAACAGGGGCTTTAAGGCCATTCTCTTGATCTGTAAAATCTCTTTGAAAATTTCCACATGGAATAAGAATCTGGACAACTAGGGTGCCTGCTGGATGCTGGTGGGAGACCTTGACGCCCAAGGAGATGGGTGGAACCCCCACGTGAACCGGTAGGACGTAGGGGGACTGAGAGGGGAAGAGAAGTGGATGCCGGACAGGACCAGTGCCCTGGAGGGGTGGCTGGAAGGGGGAGGGGTTCCCACGCCTGGAGGGACCCTCAGGGACTCGGATCAAGGGGGAACGCGCTGAGCATTTCCCCTGCCCAATTGGCCCGGCTCTCAGGCAGGTCCTACACCCTCAGAGGGCCCCTCCAGGCCGTGTTGCTCCTGGGGGCTAGGAGGGAGGTTGGGGGAGAACAGGAGAGGCAGGCGGGAGGGGCCCTCCAGGACCGGAGGAGCAGGAGAGGAGCGGAGGGTGTTTGCCCCTCCGACTCGGACCAAGAAGCCTGCTGTGCTCTCAGGCCGGGTCCCCACCCTCTAGACCAGAGGCACAGCCAGTACCCCTTCTGTTGAGCCTAAGCCCCACCACCCCCAAGGGCCTTTTCCAGCTCTGTGGGTCCTAAGCATAGGCCCCACCCACTGCCAAAACCCGGCCCCTGCCTAAGTCCTGCACCCACAGCCAAGGCCTTTTCCACCTTTTTTTTTTTCTCCTCTTTTTTACTATTGTGGTTCTGTTTTACCTTCCAAAAGTTGTTCACCTATATTTTTATTTTTATATTCTTTCTGACATATCTGTTAGTTTCCTAGTCTAATTTTATTTTTTACTCTTTGTTATTGTTCTCCTTTTTTTTTTATTGCCACCCCATGCAGCTTGTGGGATCTTGGTTCATGAGCGGGGATTGGGCTGAAGCTCCTGTGGTGGGAGCTCCAAGTTCGAACCACTGAACTAACAGAGAACCTCAGACCCCAGGGAATATTCATCAGAGTGAGGTCTCCCGGAGGTTCTCATCTCAGCACCAAGACCCAGCTCTACCCAACAGCCTACAAATGCCAGTGTTGGAAGCCTCAGGCCAAACAACCAGTAAGACAAGAACACAATCCCACCCATCAAAAAAAAAAAAAAAAAAAAAAATGAGACAGCAAAAAAATATGTCACAGATGAAGGAGCAAGGTAAAAACCTACAGGACCAAATAAATGAAGAGGAAATAGGCGATCTACTTGAAAAAGAATTCAGAGTAATGAGAATAAAGATGATCCAGAATCTCGGAAATAGAATGGAGGCACGGATTGAGAAAATACAAGAAAGGTTTAACAAAGATCTAGAAGAACTAAAGAACAAACAAACAGCGATGAACAATACAATAACTGAAATGAAAAATACACTGAAGGAATCAATAACAGAATAACTGAGGCAGAAGAATGAATAAGTGAGCTTGAAGACAGAATGGTAGAAATAACTGCTGAGGAGCAGAATAAAGAAAAAAGAATGAAAAGAATTGAAGACAATCTCAGAGACTTCTGGGACAACACTAAATGCATGAATGTTCAAATTACAGGAGTCCCAGAGGAAGAGGAAAAAAAAAAGGGTCTGAGAAAGTATTTGAAGAGATTATAGTGGAAAACTTCCCTAATGTAGGAAAGGAAATAGTCACCCAAGTCCAGGAAGCACAGAGAGTCCCATACAGGATAAACCCTAGGAGAAACACACCAAGACACATATTAATCAAACTGACAAAAATTAAATTCAAAGAAAAAATATTAAAAGTAGCAAGGGAAAAGCAAAAAATAACATACAAAGGAATCCCCATAAGGTTATCAGCTGATTTTTCAGCAGAAACTCTGCAGGCCAGAAGGGAGTGGCAGGATATACTTAAAGTGATGAAACAGAAAAATCTACAACCAAGGTTACTCTACCCAGCAATCACTCAGATTGAATGGAGAAATCAAAAGCTTTTCAGACAAGCAAAAGCTAAGAGAATTCAGCACCACCAAACCAGCTTTACAACAAATGCTAAAGAAACTTCTCTAGGCGGGAAAGACAAGAGAAGAAGAAGACCCACAAAAACAAACCCAAAACAATTAAGAAAATGGTAATAGGAACATACATATCGATAATAACTTTGAATATAAATGGATTAAATGCCCTAACCAAAAGACACAGACTGGCTGAATGGATACAAAAACAAGACCCATATATATGCTGTTTACAAGAGACCCATTTCAGACCTAGGGACACACACAGACTGAAAGTGAAGGGATGGAAAAAGATATTCCGTGCAAATGGAAATCAAAGGAAAGCTGGAGTAGCAATACTCATAGCAGATAAAATAGACTTTAAAATAAAGACTGTTATAAGAGATAAGGAAGGACACTGCATAATGATCAAGGGATCAATCCAAGAAGAAGATATAACAATTATAAATGTTTATGCACCCAACATAGGACCACCTCAATACATAAGGCAAATGCTAACAACCATGAAAGAGGAAATCGACAGTAACACAATAATAGTAGGAGACTTTAACACCTCCCACTTACACCAATGGACAGATCATCCAAACAGAAAATAACTAAGGAAACACAAGCTTTAAATGACACAAGAGAGCAGATAGATTGAATTGATATTCATAGAACATTCCACCCAAAAGTGGCAGAATACATTTTCTTCTCAAGTGTACATGGAATATTCTCCAGGATAGATCACATCTTGGGTAACAAATCAAGCCTTGGAAAATTTAAGAAAACTGAAATCATATCAAGCATCTTTTCTGACCACAATACTATGAGATTGGAAATCAATTACAGGAAAAAGACTGTAAAATACATGGAGGCTCAACAGTGCACTACTAAATAACCAAGAGATCACTGAAGAAATCAAAGAAATAAAAAAATACATAGAAACAAATGACAACAAAAACACAATGACTCAAAACCTATGGGACACAGCAAAAGCAGTTCTGAGAGGAAGTTTATAGCAGTTCAATCTCACCTCAAGAAACAAGAAAAATCTCAAATAAACAATCTAACCCTACACCTAAAGCGACTAGAGAAAGAAGAACAAAGAAAACGCAAAGTCAGTAGAAGGAAAGAAATCATAAAGATCAGAGCAGAAATAAATGGACTAGAAATGAAGGAAACAATAACAAAGATCAATAAACCTGAAAGTTGGTTCTTTGAGAAGATAAACAAAATTGATAAACCCTTAGTAGAGCTATCAAGAAAAAAAGGGAGAAGACACAATTCAATAAAATTAGAAATGAAAAAGGAGAAATCACAACTGACACCGCAGAAATACAAAGGACTATAAGAGACTACTACAAACAACTATATGCCAATAAAATGGGCAATCACGAAGAAATGGACAAATTCTTGGAAAGGTACTGAACCAGGAAGAATTAGAAACTACAAACAGACCTATCACAAGTAATGAAATTGAAACTGTAATTAAAAATCTTCCAACAAACAAAAGTCCAGGACCAGATGGCTTCACGGGTGAATTCTATCAAACATTTAGAGAAGAACTAACACCGATCCTTCTCAAACTCTTCCAAAAAATTGCAGAGGGAGGAACACTCCTAAATTCTTTCTATGAAGCTACCATAACCCTGATACCAAAACCAGAAAACGATATCACAAAAAAAGAAAATTATAGAGCAATAGCACTGATGTACATAGATGCAAAAATCTGGAACAAAATACTAGCAAACGGAATCCAACAACATATTAAAAGGATCATACACCATGATCAAGTGGGATTTATCCCAGAAATGCAAGGATTCTTCAATAAACACAAATCAATCAATGGGATAGACCACATTAACAAATTAAGGAACAAAAACCGTATGATCATTTCAATAGGTGCAGAAAAAGCTTTTGACAAAAGTCAACACCCATTTATGATAAAAACTCTCCAGAAAATGGGCATAGAGGGAACCTACCTCAACATAATAAAGCCCATATATGACAAACACACAGCAAACATCACACTCAATGGTGAAAAACTGAAAACATTTCCACTAAGATCAGGAACAAGACAAGGATGTCCATTCTTGCCACTCTTAGTCAACACAGTTTTGGAAGTCCTAGCCACAGCAATCAGAGAAGAAAAAGAAATAAAAGGAATACAAATTGGAAAAGAAGAAGCAAAACTGTCACTGTTTGCAGGTGACATGATACTATACATAGAGAATCCTAAAGATGCCACCAGAAAACTACTAGAGCTAATCAATGAATTTTGTAAAGTTGCAGGATACAAAATTAATGCACAGAAATCTCTTGCATTCCTATACACTAATGGTGAAAAATCTGAAAGAGAAATTAAGGAAACACTCCCATTTACCACTGCAACAAAAAGAATAAAATACCTAGGAATAAACCTACCTAGGGAGACAAAAGACATGTATGCAGAAAACTATAAGACACTGATGAAAGAAATTAAAGATGATACAAATAGATGGAGAGATATAACATGTTCTTGGATTGGAAGAATCAGCATTGTGAAAATGACTATACTACCCAAAGCAACCTACAGATTCAATGCAATCCCTATCAAACTACCAATGGCATTCTTCGCAGAATTAGAACAAAAAGTTTTACAATTTGTACGGAAACACAAAAGACCCCAAATAGCTAAAGCAATCTTGGGAAAGAAAACTGAGCTGGAGGAATCAGGCTCCCTGACTTAAAACTATACTACAAAGCTACAGTAATCAAGACAATATGGTACAGGCACAAAAACAGAAATATAGATCAGGATAGAAAGCCCAGAGGTAAACCCATGCAAATATGGTCACCTAATTTACAACAAAGGAGACAAGACCATACAATGGAGGGAAGGCAGCCTCTTCAATAAGTGATGCTTGGAAAACTGGACAGCCACATGTAAAAGAATGAAATTAGAATGCTCCCTAACACCATACACAAAAATAAACTCAAAATGGATTAAAGACTTAAATGTAAGACCAGACACTATAAAACTCTTAGAGGAAAACATAGGAAAAACACTCTTTGACATAAACCACAGCAAGATCTTTTTTGACCCACCTCCTAGAATAATGGAAATAAAAACAAAAATAAACAAATGGGACCTAATGAAACTTAAAAGCTTTTGCACAGCAAAGGAAACAATAAACAAGACAAAAGGACAACCCTCAGAATGGGAGAAAATATTTGCAAATGAAACAACAGAAAAAGGATTAATCTCCAAAATATACAAACAGTTCATGGAGTTCAATATCAAAAAAAAAAACCCAATCAAAAAATGGGAAGAAGACCTAAATAGACATTTCATCAAAGAAGACATACAGATGGCCAAGAGGAATGTGAAAAGATGCTCAACATCGCTAATTATTAGAGAAATATCAAAACTACAATGAGGTATCACCTCACACCAGTCAGAATGGCCATTATCAAAAAATCTAGAAAAAATAAATGCTGGAAAGGATGTGGTGAAAAGGGAACCCTCCTGCACTGTTGGTGGGAATGTAAATTGGTAAAATCACTATGGAGAACAGTATGGAGGTTCCTTAAAAAAATAAAAATAGAACTACCATATGACCCAGCAATCCCACTACTGGGCATATACCCTGAGAAAACCATAATTCAAAAAGAGTCATGTATCACAATGTTCATTGCAGCACTATTTACAATAACCAGGACATGGAAGCAACCTAAATGTCCATCAACAGATGAATGGATAAAGAAGATGGGGCACATATATACAATGGAATATTACTCAGCTATAAAAATAAACGAAATTGAGTTATTTGTAGTGAGGTGGATGGATCTAGAGTCTGTCATACAGAGTGAAGTAAGTCAGAAAGAGAAAAACATATACCGTATGCTAACGCACGTATACGGAATCTAAAAAAAAATGGTGCTGATGAACCTAGTGGCAGGGCAGGAATAAAGACACAGACATAGAGAATGGACTTGAGGACACGGGGAGCGGGGAAACTGGGGTGAAGTGAGAGAAGCATCGACATATATACACTACCAAATGTAAAATAGATAGCTAGTGGGAAGCAGTGGCATAGCACAGAGAGATCAGCTCGGTGCTTTGCGAGTACCTTGAGGGGTGGGATAGGGAGGGTGCGAAGGAAGCTCAAGAGGGAGGGGATATGGGGATATATGTATGCATATGGCTGACTCACTCTGTTGTACAACAGAAACTAACACAGCATTGTGAAGTAATTATACTCCAATAAAGACGTATTAAAAAAATTAAAAAAGAACTGTGAGAAAAAAAAAAGGATCCGTCCAAAAGCATTTTACGTGGATATTATGACATGCCAAAAGGTAGGCAAATGGAATTTGTGTTGTTGTTTTTTTTTTTAACATGACTTAATATCAAAACTGTTGAAAGGGAAAATAGATTCCTAATGGGGTTTATGACTGTATAGGTATTAGTAACTCTTAGAGAACCATGATGGCCCAGGAAGTGGGGTTAGCCACCATACTGAGGGCAGTGATAACAATGACCAAGTATAAATTATCTTTGACATTTCTTATATTTAAATAAGAATGGGTAAACTTTAGCTTTTCAAAAATCCTATGGTCGTTTAGCAATATTCAACTTAAATCCTGGACGAAAAAGAAAATATTGAATCATTATTTTTAATTAACAATTCAAGTATTAAGTAATCATTCTTTAATTAACATTTCGTGTGTCAATAAATAATCTTATGGGGTCATTCATCGATCTGAAAAGCATTTGATAGCTGATATATAGTGAAGAACCATTACAAACCTTTGCGCATTTGTTAGAAGCCCCAAAGGTTAAGATAACGAAATAGGACCAAATCCCAAAGGGTCAGTTATGAATTTCGGTAGAGCACCGCCACCACAATTTGCAGATGTGATTCCAATGTTTATACCCTAATTTATCAGTGATTTTGTTCTTAATTTACATGCACAGCAAGCAGACCCTCTTTATAAGTCCATGCATGCGCATAAAATGCTCAAGTCCAATGTTGAAGAATCCTATGTTTGTAAAGCTTACCAGAGATGACCCCTGCAGTCAGTGTGGCAGCTACTGGTGACTGCCTCTTACTCACTCTGGCAAGAAATCTAAACAGTAAACCATCCCGGGCCATGGCAAACAGAATTCGGGGCAAAGGAAACATGGAACCCAGAAGACTAGAACAGAAAAATTCATAATCCACATGTGAGTTATTACAAGTATTATTCTAGATGAGTATATACTGGTAAAGACTGGACACACTAAAGTACAGAACCTATAGCAAAAAAAGAAATTCAAAATCGAAAATATTCACAAAAAAGTTATTAATCTTTATATATATATAAACAGAAAACGACCTAATTTTCCCTTTTTTTTCCAGAATCCTCGATGAAAAAAGATCCCCCTTTACTTAATAAAAGTCAACTCTCTCACCTGCCACCGCACCCGATGATAAAGTAGCAATTATTGGTGTCTTCGTTTTGGAATTGATTTGAGCTAGACATTTGAAAAGCAACCCATCCTCCGCCATAGCATAGATTACACGAGGCATTGGGAAAATGGATCCAAGAAGACTGAATAAAAAGCAAACACATGCAGTATGGCAAACACATTCATGCAAGATTACATCCCAGAACTGAAATTAAGTAATCGCATAAAACTCAGCATCACAGCTGTGATTATGAAGTCTTGTTATTTTTAAAATGTATTATGATTGGGCATTTAAAAATAGATACCAATTAACCATTGTGCTACTTATTATTCTCTTACAGATATTTGCCCAGCACAATTATCAGACTAAAAACAATACTGCAAATAATTTGTGCAGGCCCATGATTACTACTAGATTAAAACTAAGGAATTAAGACCAAAAAAAACCCAATTATATCATTAAGACACTTTTAACTTCGAAAATAAAATTTATAAATTGATATGTAATTACAGAAAAGATTAAGTAATTTGATTTTATAGTATATTCACTTCATTTATTCAACAACTACACATTTTTCATATTTATTTTACCATTATTTTTCCTCATATAGTGTGATCTTTGATCAAATTAATAATTCTTAGCATCATAAGATAATCAAGACAGAAAAAGACACACAAAAAATCAACTCACTGTATATTTAGTACATAAAAACAGCTGCAATTAAACGTTAGTAACAGTGCAGTTTAAGAAAACGATTTTTTGCTTTAGATGTTTTGAATTACTTGTGCGTTTACTGGCTGCATCATTCCATACATGAATTAGTTGTGAAAAATAACCACTGAAAGAGAAAGTAAGTAAAATATACTTTTTAAATCCATCTTCTTTATTTTTTAATAAAGCTGGGTTGAGTTGGCCACAAATAAATCTTTGTCCATCTCTCTTCTAAGACCATGGTGGCGAGGTATCACCACAGTTCAGATTTCTGAAACTGTTTGAAACTATTTAGAATAAACCTCAACACTGGCAGATGGCTAAGAAACCAACAGGGGTAATTTCTAATTGCTGCTTAATATTATCTTGAATACAAAATAAAAGAGAGTTTGAGGGGAAAAAAAGCTAGGCTGATGAATTATACAAAAAAATTCTTTTTCCAATTTCAGACTTTTAGAAAATTATTTTCACTTCAAAAAATTAGTAATCAAGCAGAGATTAATTTTTCTCTTCGTAAGAATGCTCTAAGTATAGCACACTATAAAACTCAAATGAAACATCTTATGATCACATGTTAAATTAAAATATGAGTAGCTCAGGAAACTTGAGAAACGAATCATAAAATATTAAAATAAGCAGCTACTGAAAATCTGAATACTTGAGATTCAACTATTCTTTTCGCATAGATTTATACAAATTTCCACCATTAACTTGAGAACAGTAATTTCCATTTCTACACCAAATTCACTCTGATCAGTGCTGACAGGAAGAAGTCTCAGTGCTTCATAATAAAAAGCACATTATACTTAACAATGCCACAGCATATAGCTTCCACTCATTACAGACATGATATTATTTTAAAAGACAGCAGAAAATGTCAAGTCTGCACATAAGGTCTCAATTGTCTGTAGCACTACAAGTAACACCAAAGCCAGCAGGGGAACATACTAGTATAAGCATTGTAAAGTTTTACAGTACATATATATATATGAATATGTATGAAATATATAAGTTTGTATTAATGCCATATATATCCACAGAAGCTTGGATCATCATTATCTTGAAAAACTGAGTTTTAACTGACAGGGGAAACGTTTTTATCACTTAAGATTTTGATATGGCAATTTGGGCGAACTATTCAGAGAATACAGTTGTATAATGTGTTCCTCCTATTAGGATTATTTTTAAAACATACAAAAGCAATTCTTTAGGCACTGACTACCTTTGCAGTAGCCCAGACAGCCCTGCCCCAAAGGCAATGCAACGTACCTTGTTGACAAAGCACAGAGGGAGCCTGCTGCAACGACATATTTGGCTGGACCCCATCCAACATACTCAAATGCTACAGGAAGGGGGCTTTTCTCATCGAGGAGGTAGTATGGCATCATCAGTGTTAAAGCTGCTGAGACCCCAAAATAGGCCATAAAGCAAACGAGCAGAGAAGTCACAATTCCAATAGGAATAGCTTTCTGAGGATTCCGGACTTCCTCACCTAAGGAAACATAAACGAAAGATTTGCATATTTAATAAAACATGAATAGGTAAAACATGAATTCTTCTTCTCCTTCATAGTAATTCTACTCTGCTCTGTCCCTTCTGTTTTCTCAGCTTGCTCCATCTATGCTACATGACGTTTTTTCTTTTCTTGAGGGTCCTGTGATGTCACATAAAGATCAAAGCCCAGGCTTCCCTGGTAGCGCAGTGGTTGAGAGTCCGCCTGCCGATGCAGGGGACCTGGGTTCGTGCCCTGGTCCGGGAAGATCCCACATGCTGCGGAGCGGCTGGGCCCGTGAGCCATGGCCGCTGAGCCTGCGTGTCCGGAGCCTGTGCTCCGCAACGGGAGAGGCCACAACAGTGACAGGCCCACGTACTGCAAAAAAATAAAAATAAAAATAAAATAAAATAAAAAAGATCAAAGCCCAGAGGCAAGAAGAGAAAGCAAGAAATGCTGCAAGTCAGTTTCCCATTTCCAGAAAGAAAAAATGTTATCCCAGCACTATTAAATGTTTAGGGATAGAACAGAAGTCTTAATCCATTTGGAAAATGATTCCTCCACAGAGATTACACATCATGGCATTCTGCAGGCCCTTAATTATGAAGGCTTCCATACATATGAAGACAAACTTCTACTCAGTGCATTGATTTATATTAAATTTTAGTTTTAATAAAAAACAGCACTTTTTCAATCTTTCTAATACAATTTGGCAGTTAAAACACCCCAAATATGGTCAATTATAAGGCCATGCAATAATGTGAACCCAGAGGAAGCATTTAGAGACTAACTAATTGTAGCATGATTACTTTGTTGTACAGGATAAAGAGAAAAGAATTACCACAACGTATTTTGTCCTGTTAAAGAAGAAACAATTTAAGAGCATGATCATCGTTGTTACTCACTGTGATAGCACTTTCAGACCAAAGCACTTTCAGACCAAAGCACTTTCAGACCAAAGGTTAAGGGTAGTAATTATGACCAACACTTATAAAGTAGTTGACAACTTGCAAAGTATTTTTCATCATCTTAGGTACCCTTCATAACATCTGAGAGGTAGGTATTGCTCTCCTGATTTTACCAATATGGAAACCAAAGCTCAGAGAGTTTCACTACGTTTCTTTTTATACAGCAGGTGTTACTTCTGGGTCTGGAACAGCCCTTATTATCCCAAATTCTACTCTCTTCCCTTGAACCTCTGTTGTCACCTATGGGTACTCATGTGGTTCAAAGAACAATTTTTCCTTCGACATAGAGCTAAGAGTTTGCTCTTACCAGTTGTTGCAATGCAGTCAAATCCCACAAAGGCATAAAAGCAGGTTGCAGCCCCAGCCAAAGTTCCTGCAAAGCCATAAGGCATAAAGCCACCAGCCCCATAGATACTTGTTCCATTTTCAGAAGGTGGCTCCCTAAGGAAGAGAAGAAGCACATTGGAAAGTCATTTTCCTAGAAAACTGCTTCTTCAAGCAATTTGTCTCAAACTACAGCCTCGGAAGGTTATTGTGTTCATCAGCCCTTGGAAGCTGATGTGTACAAAACTGAAGGTAAACTCTGATTTTTTTCACCCTATCCTAGAGGATGTGGTGGTGTTCTCAATAATGGCACCCCTCTCTGGTTACCAGCACTCAACTAGAGGCTGATCATTAGCATAAGCAGAAGACTCAGATCCACTCTGGCTGGAACTCATAGCCAGGCAGGATTTTGAGAACAGAGACCCCATATATGGGCCATGATCTGAAATAAAGACAAGAAACTTTCTCTTCTCGTGGACAGTGGGGCAGACTGTACATCTGAAAAATTTACTAAGAGGACTTTTGACAAGGTGAAATAAAATTCTCTAATCTTGATTAATAATACTGAAGTTGAATATTCTATTACATGTGAAAAATTATATAAAACCAGAGGATACTAAATTTTTGTCTCATCAGAATGGCTACAAACAACATATGTAAAGAAAAACATGTACATGTACATCACTTCATGTAATAGACATTTTTGTAATCTTATTTACACATAGGAATATTATGCTTAAATAAATATTAGGATGAAACCTTTCATATATAATTAATTTAATATTTGAGATTATCAGGTTTAAAGTGAAATACATAGACAATTCTGCTTATGCAATCAATAACATTCTCAAAAAAACGAGCAGGAGTGAAAATTACTACAAGGTTGAAAGGATGCAATGGAACCAAAGAGTGTCCCCAAAGGAAAAACTAAAGGATGCATGACTCAAAAATGTTCTTTGTTATTTTGAGGTGACAAGTCTTTGGAGGGAAAAAACCATCCTTCCAATGGTTAGGACCTGTCCTTGCTCTTCCTTAAAACTGGAGCCAGGCTTGAGATTAAGAACCAGCAACTGCATGGCTTTAAGCAGCTGCTCCGTAGTGAGCACACCTATGCACTCAGGAAGAACAGTCTTGAAACAGAACAGACCTTCAGAAAGTTCTCTGAAGCAAAAAGTTTGAGAACAGTTTTTCTAGAGGAAAATGTAACATAAGACAAAAGCAAGCAAATATTTAAAAAAACCTCAAAATAGGAGAGGAAAAACCCGAATATTTAACCTGGCACTTGCAGATATATTTTTGAGAAACTCTTCACTAATCTTCCAGTTTGCCACGTTTCCTTTCACAAACCCAGCGACCATAACAAAGAGAAGGACCAGGATATTAATGGCTGTGAAGACTTTATTCACCCAAGCAGACTCTTTTACTCCAAAAGATAAAAGACCTATGGAAAAAGAAAGGGTATTTTAGTGTTTACCTAACCTTTAGGAAAAGGCAACAGCATTTTGAGACAGTTAAAAGCTTTAGGATATCATTTCATCAGCATTCATATATTTAACTGACATTTACCCCTTTCTATTGAGAGTTCTTAGTCACCTAACTGTGAATAAAACTAACTTGATTTCAGAATGCAGACTGTGCTCATAGCCAGGAGATCCCAAACTCTCTGATAAATGAATAAATTTAGTAACTGGCTTTTATTATCAATGGGTAGGTAAAGTAACTTAATTTTAATGAAATGCTGTTCTAAAAAGCCATTTCAAGGTTAATGGCTGAAAAGTTTTTAAAGTAAAACTCAATCATATTGTCTGCCTCATATTTACAGAATACATTAAACAAAATAATTATTCAATTGTCATGACAAAAAATATTTTGTTAAATCTATTCATTTTAATAGTTTTATTTTTATATTCTGATTGTAAATGCAATCAATTTCCTATTCAAGTAACCTGAAGATACAGAAAAGAAAAAAAAAGAAAGGAAATAAAGATCAAGTGTAACTTCCTTTCCAGAATTTTGCACACACACACACAAAGACACACAGGCACACATTTACATGTCAACAAACATATAACCTCATTTTTAACAATCACATACTCTTCTACTGTATGGAGACACTACATTTTACTCCTATATTTACAGACAATCAGGTCACTGTTAGTTTCTTACAACCATAAACAGTACTGACCTAATCATCCTTTTATAAATATCTTTTTACACTTTCTAATTATTTCTTTACAATAATTTTCTATAAGGTAATACCATATCAACGGTATACACTTTATGTAAGACTTTTGGTTCACACCATCAAAACAGTCTCCAGAAAGTTTGGCCCAATTTAAATTGTCCATTTTTTCCCATTAGGCTATTCTTATTCATATTGATTTATAAGACTTATTTATACAATAATGCTATAAGCTCTCTCACTGTATATGTATAGAGCATGTTTTCCCTAATTTATCATGTACTTTTAATCTTAGTGTTGATTAAACATGTAAGAAAGTTTTAGAGTATAAATTTTTCCTCTTTAGTTTCTACCTCTAGAAAGATTTTCCCTAATATTAACACCAAAACATTCACTTTTGTTTCCTTCCAGTGCTTTCATGATTATATCTATCATATCTATATCTTTAATACATCTTGTATAAGATATGAATTATGGATCAAAGAAAGTTTACATTTTACTGTTGGGGAAATAACTGTGATGAAAGGCTTATATCACATACATACTTGCTTCTTCCCCGTATCTGTACCACCCATGATCAAATAAGCAAAATTATCCAAGTAGAGATGAGAAAAGCTGAATTTCATTCTCCTACCTGTATAATTCCCAGAATTATACAAGAATACAACTATACTAATATAAAGGAAAACTGTACGGTCAGTACAATTACTGACTCTGTGACTATCTGACAGATTAGGAAACACTATATAACTCTACACCTTGGAAATATACACTATACTACTACACATTTGGGAAGATAACAAAGCCACCACCAAGTTTTATAAAAGTTTCCCAATACCCCAAGTGCACTCTCCATTCTGAGATCCCCAACTCCCACCAGTAAATTAGCCTTCTCATCTAAATGCTGCATACACTTCCCTTGTATCTTTAATAAAACAACTGCCTCAGTTGACAAGACATTTGGCATTACAATATGAATAAAGATTACAACAGGAGGTTTTGGTCTTTGAAGTTTCTAAGAACAAAGTTGTCATGTAATCTTAGCCTGTCCTGAAAGAAAAGACATGATGGTTGATGAACATGGGACATAAAATACAGGCCAAGGCCTGAGTCTTGCCATGGAATTTAATGACTGAAACTGTGTCATAACTACATGCTTCTCATCGTTTAGAGATTAAAGCTAAATATTTAAGGTCACTGAAACCATCCTTAAATAAAATGTGATGTAACTAATTTAATGTTAGCTAGGCGGTTGAGAAACCGAAACAAATAAAACCTATCACCTGTTGAAAAACAATTCATGCAATTTTTCTTGACATTAGAAGGAAAATGCCAAATAACTTGGACCTATAAATTTTGTTCATGTCCCTACCCATATCCCTACCTAAAACATTAAATTAATGGCTAACATTTTAAAGGGTAAAGTTATTTTTTTAATTATGTAATTTTATAAGGAAAAATTATAGAAAGATAGGGAGAAAGTAGCTAGTGATAAGGTTGGACAGGAAAGCAAGGGTCTATCAACCAGGAAATGGGAACAAACATGGACTTTATTCTTAGTGCAATCCTTGATGGATTTAAGCAGGAGTGCCAGGTAGTTTGACAATCAAAATTGAAAACGCTCAAATAATTAAAACAAATATTAGGGGACAGCAGGGATGAGCTATGCCTACAAAATAAAACTGCCGGCCATCTAAGAGCTTACTATGCATCAAGCAAAAAGCCAGCACAAGATAAACATTGACGTCCTCATTTTATGGATGAACAAACTGAGTCATGGAAAGATTAAGTCACTCAACGTTCTAAAGACAGGAAGTGGCAGAGCAGAACTGAAAACCTGGTCACTCTAATTCCTATGCCTTTCTAAACTATTATGCTACACAACTGATGAAAACAGGAAAATTCTAGTATCAAGTATGTTTGTCTCCATAATGTCTGCATTAAAAAAAATGACGGGTGGTTTGAATATGCTCCCTTTTTCAACCAGATGTCTACATTATATAGGCATAAATAGAAAGACAGAATTTCTTCTAGAAACAGTATGCTTGCAAATATCCTTAGTTGTAACTAACAAGATGAAATAAGGCCAAAAATTTTATATCCTTCCTTATTGAAGCTTTGTTGCCATTCCTGCAAATCTCCAATTAGTATTATAAAATTTATGTACCGTATCTGATTATTTAGTGCATTCCAGGTGTCACGGACTCAGAAGTACTATTTCTACCGTTCCATGTAATTTAGATTTATTTTTGAAACATACTTATCACAGAAGATAAAATGTGGTTCTAGCTAGTCACAAGGCCCACAGATGTCCAATAGTAACTTATGTGTATAAGTATGCTGCCTAACCTTCGAACTCAGGTCCCAAATTCAGTGGTAACCTATTTTCCTGGGACAACTAGCCCGGCTCATCTTAGGCAGAAGTGTAATTGGTTTTCTTACCTGCTAGAAGTAATATAAGGCACACAGCAAAAAAGTCAGGATACTCTGCAAGGCCAGTATAATTCATTTTGAAGTATGTCCTGAAAAACTGACCAATCTGTTTGCTAAGAAGTTCATCAAAGGTGCCACTCCAAGCCCTTGCAACACTTGACGTTCCTTCCAAAACACAGAACGTTCAGAGAATACAAAGTCAGTGAGAGAAAATTAACATAACATCTTTTGCTACTCTATTCTAGGATAATCATGGGTTAGTTCAGACAGAATTGAACTTTTAATCACACATAAAATTATCTTGATAACTTTATAATTACACAATAGCAATGAAATGCTCAAGTCCATAACTGTGGAATCAGGCAATTTTATTTGCATTAAAGAGCTATCATTTTTTAAGAAAGGTTTTCAAACCCACTAAGTGATGGCATATTCAGAGATGAAGCAGAATCACCAAATTTTGCAACTAGAAGGAGACACTTTATTTAGAGATGAGAAAAATGAGACACGCAGGGATCAATAGATACATTCTGATCACCTAGTCGCTAATTAATGCAGACCTATCACGGAACCCTAAGGCCGCTGACTCAGGAGTGCCATTTCTACCATTTTACCCAATTTGGTTGATTTTTTGCAAACATACCTATCACATAAGATAAAATGAGATTCCAGCCAGTGATGAAGGCCCACAGTTCTCCGACAGTAACGTAAGTGTACAAATAGGCAGACCCAGTCTTGGGAACTCGGGCCCCAAATTCAGCATAGCATAGGCCTGCCATCACGGAAGCCAGCGCAGCGATGAGGAAGGAGACCACGATGCTGGGGCCAGAATCCGCTTTGGCAACCTCGCCAGCGAGGACATAAACCCCGGCACCCAGAGTGCTTCCAACGCCCAGGGCAATGAGGTCCATGGTGGATAAGCAGCGGCACAGTTTGGTATCTTCTAGACTGTCCAGAGTGACGATTTTTCTCCGGATCAGACATCGTGCAAAAGACAGCGCTGCTCTGCAGGGAATCATTCTGAAGATGGCAACCTGAAGAAGAGAAGGGAGGGGATTAAAAGCTGATCTGGAACTGCCATCCGTCCAGTTACTCTCCCAGCTTCTCCGCACAGCTGTGCCACCTGATTGCTTTTACTCCTTGCTGGAGGTGCGGCCCGGAGCAATCAGAAGGAGGGTCGAATGAGCCAAAGCTGTGATTTTCTCAGAGCTCACTCTGATGTGGCCTTTTAGAAGGATCTGCCACAAATGACTTATTTGGGGAGCAAAGGAATAGGAGCCTTGGGCGATTAAAAAGATTTGCCATTTTTGCTTGTTGTTGCAATTTTTAAGGATATGCCGATAGAAATATATTCCAAGAGGTGGCTTATTTGTCATTGCTTCAAGCAAAGGGGTAAATCACCTCATCTTTCTGGTTCTCTCTCTGTCTCTTTTCTTCAATCATTCCTTGAATTCATATTTTTTTAGGCCTTATTACACGCCAGGGATTGTGCCAAGATTATGTCTAGTATGGTGTGGAACGCTGGTATGGCCTCCAGCTTTACCAGACTTACATTCTAGGTATTGCCTAAAAGCAGGTAAAAATGCCATCATTATGTGGTCTACAGCTTTATCAAATATGTGTGAGCTCTGCTTTCATTTCCTTGTTTCATTTTAATGTGGAGCCACTTGAACCTTTTAGAATTAAAAGAATTCCCCCCAAAACATGCTTAGAGTTTTCTAAATAAAACTGCTATTCACTTATGCTTTAAGTATGAATTTGTAATAAAACACACATGCTTATTCATATTTACTTGCAATTTCTAAATAAATAAATAAAGTCAAAGTCCATGCCAAGTTTGATATATTCTTTTTTAAATGGAATGAATAAGGTAGACAGAAGGTCTCACTCGCCATACCTTACAGGCCCAAACAACCTAACACTGAAAAAAAAAAATTCGTCAGGTTATAAAACGTGGATTTAGTAAGGAAAAAATACACATATTATAGTAAAAAGTCTGAAGCAAAATATACCAAAATATTAACAGTAATATTGGTAATATACAATATATATTATATAGCTAATATGTTTCTAAATTTACCTCCAATGACTATGTACAACATATACAAAAGAAATATAAAAATGAAAAGGCACTATATGGCCTTGTCTACAGAGACATATAATTCAGAAGACTAAGAAATAACTGAGGAATAGGGAATATAATAGTATATACAGCTTCTCAGTCAATAAAGTTAAATGTATTTAACTTTTAGAAGTTCAGAGTCATGTTTACTCTGATTGCACAGTGATCTACAGAGGCTGAATGTTATCCCTTCAATCTTGTTATACTCATTATCAATAGCTTAAACTCATGAGATCACAGCTTGACATCTTCTCTGAAGAACTTAGGGCTTTCTATCCTATGAAATAAATCCTTGAACGTTTCTCGACCTTAATCTCTATAAAAGAAAACTATTATTAAAACTTATTTTATTTAAAAACAGTAGTATAGGGCTTCCCTGGTGGCGTAGTTGTTGAGAGTCCGCCTGCCGATGCAGGGGACGCGGGTTCGTGCCCCGGTCTGGGAAGATCCCACATGCCGCGGAGCGGCTGGGCCCGTGAGCCATGGCCGCTGAGCCTGCGCGTCCGGAGCCTGTGCTCCGCAACGGGAAAGGCCACAACAGTGAGAGGCCCGCGTACCGCAAAACAAACAAACAAACAAACAAACAATAAATAAATATAGTAGTATAATAAATTTTCTATACTGAATCTCAATGACTTACTGCTCATAAGAGAAAAACATTTCTGGGATATGAATAATCCAGTTTCATGCTAACCTTAGTATATAAAGCTAACTCACTCAACATTATTCACACATCAATATAAATGCAAGTCCTTGATGTTGAAAGCAGCTGATTCAAAGAATATAGAGAAAAATCCTAAAGAAAAATGAAAATGAGTGAAAAGTTCCTTGATAATAAAAATAAAGTTTTACACATCATTATCTTCCACACCACCTGGCACAGTGCCAAGCATGGCACTTCACAGATACTTGTTGAAAAATTTGCAAAAACAGATGACATCTCCCATTTTGCCCATACTTGCGCTTCCAAAGTCAAAATCTATCAAACTTCCATAAATCAAATGTGTATCAATTTCTACCCTTACCTAGCCCTTAAATAGCTATTTCTCATATAACACATCTAGAAGAAATGGGAGAGAAGTGTTTTGCTTAAAAAAGAATCAAGTGAAAAGCTGGAGTTATACAAAGGCCAACTGAGGTGGGAGGATGGCAGTTGAAGGGATTTATAAATGCTGACCTTCAATAATATTTAAGCATTTTTATACAACAGAGATGTGCAAAGCTCAAGAATTAGGGATAACTGCCAACTGAAAAATGCTAAGAAATGAAGACCCACTGAATTTTAGTAATGATTTAAGATCATAGGAAAATGGAACATGTCATACACAACTTTAGGAGACAACTGATGTACAGAATGAGGCACACCTGTTAGTCATTAATTAAATAAAACACTCTTGGTAAAGTGATTGATTAACCTCACATGTTATGAATAAAAGATAAATTCTACAACTATTGCAAAGGAATCTGGAAGGAAGCAAGGAAAACTAAGAAGAAAGGAGAGTGATATGACTGTGGGTGAGCTTTTATTTATTTTTTTAATCCTTTTTTTGGTAATATGGTCACCATGTTGTTTTCGAAGTTTCTAAACCCCCCCCCACACACACAAACACAAGATAGCATAAAAATAAAAAAGAATAAGCAAGCCAACCGATAAACAACCTTCTATAAACAACCTTCTTTGAAATGCTAAAAATAGTGAAAAGTTTTCTTAGTAACAGTTACCCAAAATGAATAAATGAGTGACCCTCATCCTGTCAATAGAAAAGTGAATTTAATTCATTCCAGATTACATGGGAAGCAGAACTATTTACAGAAACATACAGCTTTAATCAGAGAAGATCTGATTGCTACTGCCTCTTTCCTATTAAAAATGGAAAGTATTTCATGTTCAGTTTTTCTGCGTTGCCCTGAGCAAATAAGTCAAAGCTGCCACTTGTCAAGCATTCATTTGCTTTTGAGTAACAGAAATGCAGACGTCAGAAACGCTTCTCTGAATTGACAGGTTAGGCAATGTCCTTGGCAAACAGCCTTAACTACGCACAACTGATAAAATACTGATTGCAAAAGCTATGATACAAAACCGACTTTGCAGAAATATAATGAGATGGGAAAAAGCAATGTAAAAACATACTGGGTCAATTTAATGAATCGTTGTTAAATAAACATTTATTAAATCCTAGCAGGTGTATCATATAGTCAATAAAGAAAAAAGAATCCCGTGCTTTTGTTAAATATGTTTTTGTGGAGATACACTGATATATGGAAGTAGAGTGGCAACAGGAGAATGAGAAAAAATAAGATATTTGTGTCTAATGTAATATAATTTGATATTTACTTTTTTAAAATTTAGTAACTTTTCCTTTAAAGCATTTAAAAAGATATGTTCCTTATGTAAATGGTTATGACAACCTTACTCTCATTTCTAGAAGGTCCTTTCATTGCTGAAAAAAATCCACTCATACTTATTCTTTGACACATGTCCGCATTTGCTGTCCCTGCCTGGGCTCTGGTGTGTTGTCGCATCAGCAAACGACTATGCAGTGAAAATACGCAAGGATTTTGAAGGTGATTCTATTTGGTCTGGAGGACAGAGACTGTTTTCCCAATAGCAGACAATGATCCAAACCATCATACCCACTGTCAGCTGTTGCCACCATGACCAAGGATTGGTACTGAGTATGAACCCTACATAAATGTAAGTAAAGGACAATGATGTTAGACTTTGGGAAGAGGCCCATGCAACACTCATACCCATGACCTGAACCTTAAAATATAAAACTCTAATCAACATTCCTATGAGGTCACAAATGATTCTGGTGATACTAGAAACAGACACGTATCCTTTTTCAATAAACAGTTATTTTACTAATTGCTAAGACAGTGGCCTCTCTACTGAGGCGTAAAATATGCACATATTTGCTTAGATCTGAAAATGTAATTAGCTAACAGAAAGCCTCGGAGGGATCTGCAACAGCTCAGGCAGCAGTAAAGTCTGTGAGTGGATTTAATGAGTCTGGTGATAGATCTTTCTGAGTCCCTTCCCCCATCCCCAGCCCTAAGTATAACAGTTTTAAGACATCTAACTCCCCGATGGAGCCCTTATTAATTCTTGCCAGAAAGCTAAATTCCCTCCTCAGCAACTTGGAATTATCCCCTTCTCAAACTTCTTCAATCCAGGTTGTAAACTTGACCATGTAGAGTTTTAGGTCAAATAAATCCCTAGGCCTGATGATATAACAACACTATATATAGAGCAGACCTCTTTTCCACTAACCACAGAAATCTTGCAAAATCTGCTAATTACAGTCAAAAGTTGATCCTGGATTTTCACGTCGGTTCAAAAGTTTGACGTAGCATTTAGCTGCACAGAAATGCAGCTCCTCCCCTACATAAAGGCTGAAATTTCAAACTTAATCCTCGGTATCAGTATCACAGGCCCTGACAACAAATCTTACGGGAGATAGGAGCTGCGGGGGCAGGCATTCCAACAAATCCTCACTGGATGCTCTCCTCCGAACCCTATAACCAACTTTCCTTCCTCACGTGATTGCTGGTTTCATGGTGAGATATTTGCACTTTCTGTTTTGGGCCTGATAGGGAAAAAGGGATTAAACAATGTTAAGCTTGGGAACTTTGCCCCATTGTGTGTGTGTGTTTTCTCTGAACTAGAGCTTTGGGGTTTGCAATCTCCAAACTCAACATCAATTACATTTCTATAACTTTTTTTTTTTAACATCTTTATTGGAGCATAATTGCTTTACAAGGGTGTGTTAGTTGCTGCTGTATAACAAAGTGAATCAGCTATACATAAACATATATCCCCATATCTCCTCCCTCTTGCGTCTCCCTCCCTCCCACCCTCCCTATCCCACCCCTCTAGGTGGTCACAAAGCACCGAGCTGATCTCCCAGT